CAGTTGTGATGGGATATTAAATCAATATTTTTCCAAAATGTTCACATAATCAAGTCATTTTGTATATTTGCTATTATTAATGTTTCAGCTGATTCATTCTTCAGGTGAAACAGTATGTTAACAGCAAATAAAGTGCAAACAATAGTGAATATGTTAATGGATTTTCTTAAAGTTATAGACAATTCACAAGTACATCCCTTTAACCCTACTTAGATAAAATAAATTTCTGAGTTTATTAAATTTATTCATTATAACTTTATTAAACAGTAAAATTATTAAAAAAAAAAAAAAACTTAATATTTCTATTATATACTTTTTTTTTTTATTAACTTTTGCTATTCTCATTTTTTTTTTTTTTTCAAAACCATTTTTATTTGTCAAAATGATTTTATTGTAAATTCAAAGGATATTAATGTTTTACTTCATCTTGAAATTTTAAATAATCGCTATTCTTATTGGAAGTTTCAAACTTCATTATTTTAAATTTTCTATGAATCTTTGTTTTTCTAATTTTTCTTATAGGAAAATATAATTGATTGCTTCATTTTCTATGGCTTATTAACTATGTTATTTAAAGCTAGAAAATAGTTTAGATTGTATGGCTTTTTTTAGATAATGATTTAATGATACAAGTTTAATTAACCAATAGCTGGGAGGAGAAGAGATGGATTAATACCTTTGCTAAGAGTATCTGCATGTAAGTGAATATAATGAACCTGACTGGAATTGAAACTCTGCTCACCAATAAACAATTCTGAGCCATTATCTATTACATAACCGGAACATCTAAGCAAAATGTGGTTAATAGGAGTCACAATTTTGTATATATATGAATATAATATTTGTCTGGATTACACTTCTTTTTTTGAGCAGGAGTAGAGGTTTTTCCTTTGTTTCCTGTTTAGGATTGGGTTTCCAGTTCCTTCTAAAGTATTCTCATTCTCTTTCATTCCCAGTAACCCCTTGCATCTTAGTGGCACTATCACCTTGCTTTCAGCAAAATGATTGAAGGAAAAAAAAAAAAAAAAAAATTAGAAATAAAGACCTAACTCTTTAATCTTAAAAAAAAAATAAACATGTTGAATTGAAAATTTTGAAAAAATGTTTTTCTTGTTAGATGAAAGGAAGTGAACTACAGAAACAAAATTTATTGAAAATGGCAAGATAAATCAATTTTAAACCAGTTTATCTTTTATGCTATTAAGAATAGATATATGATAAACAGTAAGAGAGCACCAAAAAAGTTTAAAATCATATTAAACCCAGCATCACAAATATGGAAAAAAAAAGATAGATGTAGCTTTCCATACAAAATGTTTTCATAAATCTGAATATTTTTTTTTTCTTCAAATTCATCAGTTAGGCAAAACATACCTCAAAAATTATAAATTAAAAAGATCTCCAAATTTTTCAAATTGCCTTTTTAAAAAACATTTTTGCAAGTTAAAAATTACTTTGTATTAAATTCTAAAGAATAGATTACACAAAAATTAGAAATTATTTTTTTTTATGATGATGATAAAAAAAAAAAAAAACCCTAAAAAAAACATCAGATTCTCAATTAAATGAGGATGGACACAAGATGTAATACAGCAGACAGGGACATAAACAACCTCACCAACAGCTTCAATGAGGAAGTCCTCAAAACAGCATAGGTACTTGGTCATCAGAGGAAGCAACATCAGCCATGGATTTCTAATGACATCCTTGACTTCTGCGACAAGAGAAGAACCTTGAAGACTAAAAACTTCAGCCCTGAAAGTGCCACCAAGTACTATGAAACCAACAACCAAGTACACAAGCAGATGAGGTTAGACAAGGAATGTTGGATCAATCAGCAATGTGAAAACATTGAGAAAGGAAGGGGGGGGGAGAAAAAAAGAAGAAGGAAACAGCAGACAAGCATATGACACACTGAAAAAGCTTACAAAGTCATGGTAGAGCAGATTCAGTCATCGATGATAGCTCGGGTGAATTTCTAACCAAAAACATTGCAGTTTTGAACAGATGGACACAATACTGTCAGAACTTATACAACCATCTCATACAGCCTGACATCAATTTGATTGATGGGGAATCAACATCAATGAGAACACCTTGACCACTTCCAATGTTGAGGGAAGAGATGGAAGAAGCCATATGGAGCTTACCAACAGGGAGCAGACAATATTCCAGCAGAATTGCTTAAGCATGGAGGGAATGAATTGGTCACAATAATAACATCGATCTGCCAGAAAATCTGAGAGACAGAATGAACTCAATCACTTCATCATCCCCATGATCCAAAAAAGGGAACTTCTACCAGTGCCAGAACTACAGGACCATCAGCCACACCAGCAAAACCATGCTATGAGTTATTTTAAACAGACTCAAGAAAGAGGCTGAAGAACATCTAGCAGAACAAGCTGGATTTAGGGCAGGTTGAAGCACTGTGTAGCAGACCTTCAACTGCTGCATTCTGATAGAGAAACATCTGCAACATCAGAGTTATCTGTTTCATAACTTTATAGATTTCAAGAAGGCCTTTGACAAAGTGTGATATGATGGTCTATGGCAGGTCCTGAGGAATTTTGGCATAAAAGAGGTCCCTATCCAAACCATCAAGGATAACACCTCCATTAGTATGGTCCTCCTCAACAATCAGGTGGGTAACTATTTCAAGACCACAGTTGGCGTCCGTCAGGGCTGTTTACTTTCCCCAACATTGTTCAATCTCTTTCATGAGAACATCATGCAAGAAACCCTTCAAGACTTTCAGTTCACTATATCTGTAGAAGAGAGGGAGAATCATTAACAACTTATGTTTTGCTGATGACATTGACTTGTTGGGCAGGAGCTACTTCAAATTACAGCGTCTCACCAACAGATCAACAGACAGGACATAAGGAATGGAAGTGAGCACTGAGAAGAGTAAAGTCCTGATGGTCAACAGCACAACCAACATCAGGGTCCAGATCTTCATGAATAGAGAACAACTGGAAGAAGTGGATGCCTTTAAATACATTGACATTACCCTCACCAAAGATAGACGCTCTACAACAGAGATCAAGACCAGATTGGCTATAGCAACACTGGCAAAAATCAGTAAGATTTGGAAGAGCAAAAAGATCAGCTTTCCAACCAAGATGAAGCTCTACAAGTCCCTGCTGCTGTCCATGCTGCTCTATAGCTGTGAAAGCTGGACTTTGATAGCAGAAACTAGTAAGAGAGTCCAAACATTTGAAACAAAATGCTTCAGATGCCTTCTCAGGGTCTCCTGAAGAGAACACAAGACAAATGATTTTGTGACATGGCCAAGTAACACAACTGGCAGACTCCCAGGAACTCCTCTTGGCAACAGTAAAGAGGAGAAAGCTGTTGTGGCTTGAACATGTCATATGCCACAATACTCTACCAAAGACAGTCCTTCAAAGTATCTTGGAAGTGGGTAGATGTATGGGGAGGCAGTCCAAAAGCTGGATGCCCATCAAAGAATGGACCAAGATGGACACTCCGACACTGTTTCATGAGGTGGAAAACACATTTTCTGGCTGCATCATCATTGTTCATGTCTCTCTATGATTGGCTTAGTCATGAGAAAAGAAAAATACGACCTCATGTTTCTGAAGCTAAAAACAGGAAATAAATTACATCATTGACACACAATACAGTCATCTCTATATAATTTTTTTTTAAAAAGTTGTACCATTATGTCATACATATATTTAACTAAGTATTTAATTTTTCACAATATTAAAGAATAGAATTGAACCAAATGTTTAACAATTGCATGTTTCTTCTAATTTCCATTTCAAAACTTATTGTTGGGGAAAGGTGCTTTGTTGTAACATTAATGTTATCAAAACATGCCAGATCTTGGGTATTTTCAGTTTATTCATTTTTTTTTTTTTAAATCAAATTTCAGTGAATTTCCTGTCTTTCAAACAAGATGTTCAATTATGCTGTTTTCCAAAGAACAAATATTGACAACATATCAAATATTCTTTGTAAACAATTATCAACACCTACTAATGTTTGTTTTATTATCTTTGTGCTAACTGAATGCATTTTCAATTTTGCTGTTCAAATAAGAGGTTCTTTTAGGGTAAAATTTTCTGAAAATATGTATATACAATAATTGAATAAAGACAAGATTTGCATAAAACGTATAGAGTAAACTTTTTGAAGCACCTGATGAAGTTGTACAAATTTAAAAACAACTTTTAAACTGAGGTAAATATAGGTTTAATCTGATTTTTGATTTGTTTTAGTTTAATCTAGCTTTTGTTACTTTTTATTGCAATACTCAGGTCATTTTATGACCATTAAATAAGGAGCAGGAATTGGAAATAAAGATAAATTTCTGATAAGATTTCAAGAATAAGCAATACATGTTCAAATCTCACAGGAAACTTTTTCTGACCCATGCTGCTTGCTTAATGGTAGTTGTTTTTGTTTAGCAGCATATCAACCTTTATGGCAGTGATTCTCAACTGCTGTCATGGTATATATATATATATATATATATATATATATATATATATATATATATATATATATATGTGTGTGTGTGTGTGTATGTATGTATGTATGTCAGTAGTAATGATACAGTGTTAGTATTTGAATAAATTAATAAGTATTAAACTTTTTTTTCCAAAATAATTTAAATATATAACCTTTAAAAATTTTGCTAAGTGTCACATGTTATATTCATTTGCTCCTAGGTGTACTGTAGATTAAAACGATTGAAAAACACTGCTCTATGGGTTATTTAATGCCAAAATCTAAACATTTTGTATGCAATTTTTATATAATTTATTATTTTTAATTTTGGAGATAATAATGATTTTAGTGAGACAATACTTACTAATTAATCCATAGCTCGGGGGAGAAGAGGTAGGTTCATACTTTTCTCAAGAGTATTTGTGCATAAGTGAATATAACAAACTCAACTGGAATTTGAACTTGGCACTCTGATTAACAGTTCCAAACCATTTTCCATTACACCACCCACATCTAAGCTTACAGCACCTGGTATTCCCAAGCGGTTACCTATCTAAGTAATCACCAGGCTTGATGTTGCTTAACTTTAGTAATTGTATGGGAACTGGTGTTTCAACTTGATGTGGTTGCACGCCGCTTAATGATTGGCTGATTGTTTGGTTATCAACCTCTATAGGTTATTTAATACTGAAATCCAAAATATTTTGTATGCAATTTTATGGCTTCAGCTAGATATTTTGTACACAATTTTATACTTTCAGGGTAAACCTGTTTTATAAAGTTTGCAGATGATCTATTGTAGGTGTTATATGTTATGGTATAAACCTATTTCTTTGCTAGGATATTATGCTGATGGTTTGAATATTTTCATTGATTAATGGGAGTAGAATGTAATAATGACTTCATTGCTATTATAAAAAAATAAAATTAGTCAAAAAATTAATAAGAATAATAACAATTCTTCATTTAAGAAATTTAGAAAGCTTATTAGTTGTTTTATTGTGGAAATATTTGGCATTTATTGACCGAACAACCAGTGTTACTGTTGGTTGAAATTCATAAAATCTATTAAAAATGTTTTTTCAGTAAAATCGGTTTGTCAAGTTCAGTAAATGTTATTGTTCTTTCTAATATTAATAATAGTTTCCTTCCTAACATTTTGTTTGAAGTAGTGTGGAACATCAACATCTTGATTATGTCATTATTTTCTCAAGTTACATGTGCTATCCATTTTAGTTGTTGCTGTAAGTTCTTTTAGTACTATATTTTATCTTTTTTATACTAATGTTCACCTAATACAAGGGCCAAGAGCCATTCATGGTAGAGGTTTTCTGAATGAGGTTGTTGTATGAGTGTAAGAGGACGTAAGAAGCACAATTTATAAGGATATGCAGGAAAGCTAATGGTTAAATCTAGTCTCAAAAAGGTTAAGATTGTAGTGATCTGGGAAGCATCCTCTCAGGAGTCTGTTCCACAAAGTAGCAGTTCTCAAGTAGAAGATGTCCAAGCAGAACTTCCTCTTTACTAATGGAACATGAAGAGTACCACATGCTGGAAATAAAAATGATCACTGAACAAATTAAGATTTAGAATGGATAACAATGGACCATGTAAGGTGAGAGGGTTTCCTCAGAGAAGAATTATAGGCACTAGCCCCAAAACAATTCTTCTCTCCTGTCAACAAGTTAGATGAAATTAGATGATAGTTGTATGAAAGATCAAAGGTAAAAATGAACTTGTAAACTACCTGCCTTCATTCATGTCTGAACTTATACAATAAGTACTGCGTTTGAGGGAAATAATTATTTCTGAAAGTATATTTACAAAATTAAGCACAGTACTAGATTAGCAGCTAGATCTCATTTTATAGTTGAAATTGATAGATATAACCATATGTTCTATGCTAACAGTTTCTTCTCTTGCACTTCTTGCTTACTTTTCAGTCAACTTTGATCTTCAAAAATTTAAATGTATTGTAAATTGTCATTTCTCTCTCTCCTGGTTCATGTTCTTTTATATCCCACTCTCCTTAATAATGTTTTTTTTCTTTTCTCAGACTCTTTCACTCTCAGTAATCCCTTGTGTCTTAGTGGCTTTATTACTTTGTTTCCTTGATTGATTTATTTTTTTAGTTTATCAACCTTTTGCAGGTTATTTAAAGCCAGAAAATATTTTAGTGGGATACAAGTCCTACATTAACCCATAGCTGGTGGTGGGGGAGGAGAATAGGTGGTTTCATACCTTCTCCCAAAGGTATTTGCATGTAAGTGAATATAATAAACCAGACTGGAATTGAGCTGTTATTCATTAAACCAACTGCACATCCAAGCTTACAACATCTGGTATTCCTATACGGTCACCAACTAGGTTTGACATTCCTTAACAAAATTGTACAAAAACTAGTGTTTGAACATGATATAGCTCTAAGCCTCATTTTGCTTGGGGTGAAATGATTAAAAAAAAAATAAATAAATAAAAGGGAGGTTTCTTAGGTTGATATAAAAAAATGGAGCTTACTTATAAGTTAGACATGTTATACTAATATATAACTGCTGGATGTTGCATCATTTTTTACATTTTAATATTTTGTATTAGGTTACATCTTTGTTAGTTTGAGATTTTTAGAATAAGTTCCCCACAACACTGGAAGTAAGAATAATGTAAAAAATAATGAACAGACACTTGCTTGTGATTACAAAGCCAAGATTTTTCATGGAATGGAATTTTCAAGTGGATGAGATTGTATTGAAGAGTGTGTAGTATTAACTTTTCTTACTATGTTTCATTGTGGTGATGGTTAAAACAAGACAACTAGCTAGTGTTAGTACACAAAGAAATTTGAATTAATTACATCTTCACTAAGGTCAATAATATAGAATAACACTTGACAATTGAAAACTTTTTATTGGTTCTATTTTCTCATGTCCTATCCATTAGGCCATTTTAATTATAATGAAGATAATGAACTATTTTTTGTCATCCGAGGTAGATTTATTCAGATAGCAGATAAAAAAAAAAGTCAGAAAATAAAACCTATTTGGACTAAATATGTCATTTGCAGTGTACTTTAAAATAAAGTCTCATAAATTTTATGAAAATGAGCTTGATACTATTTTTATTTACTGTTAATTCACACAATACAAGGCTCAAGAGCCATACAAGGTAATAAGTTATTGAATGAGAGTGTTGTAAGGAAGGAGGAAGTAAAAAAAATGTATATTATGAGGACATGTAGGATAGATATTGGTTGGACCTGAATTTAATGAGATCAAGATTGTAGTTATCTCAAGAGTTTGTTCCACAAAGCAATAGTTCTGGAGAAGAAGCTGTCTGAGTGGAACTTGCTCCTTATCAAAAGGAACTCAAATGGAATAAGGATAAAGCCATCATGGACATGGAATGGCGGTTTGTATCTGTGACGGTTTGAACTGGCAAAACTAAGGAATGTTACGTGTCTGAAGATCTGTCATACTAATAGCGATAGATTAATGAGAGGCTAGCAATTTTTTTTTCAGATAAGGGCTACAGGAGGTGGGAAGGAAGAAGAATAATTCATAGTCCCCCCAAGGTTGGGTAAGGACTTTTGAATTTTGTCAAAGCTCAGCAGTACCAACCCAAATTCCATTCTTGGTCTGATCTAACTTTTGTAAAGAGAGAGCATGGCAGTGGGAGTTTGATATTTACTGGAGTGATAGAAGGAAACAGCCATTCTTCCAGCATCTTTTCAAAGTACAGAAATGGACTGTAGACAAGATCTATGAAAAACTTTGCAAGTACTTAGAGACTGCGCATAAGCCTAAACTTGAACCAATCAGATTAATAGGACACTCTTTTTAAATGATTAGAAACTTTTTATATCAAGCAGGGTACCATAAAAGAAAAAGTGTGTGTGTGGTGTGTGTGGTAAATCAGATATTTTGTTTTAAAGATTTGGGATACTGTATTTTTTATCAGATTCACTCATGAAATGAATATTTTTTTTAAAAATAAATATGATCCATTCATAAACATTTTCTTTCATTTTGATTTTAAATAAACCAGTTTTTTGGGGGGGGGAGTTACACTTATACTTATTTTCTAGAATGAGACCTATAGCAAACAAGACTTATATCAAAATTTCAGAAATTAATGTTTGAAAGAGAGAGAGAGAAAAAAAGTTTACTAATTTATTGTGGAAAATTAATGGCAGTCATGATTTTAGAAAAATGATACAGCTCAGCTCAATAGCTATGTCATAGATTGAAACCCAGAGGACAAATTTAGTTTTCTGATTAATTCTTAGTTCCAGCAAAGAGCCATCCCTGATACTACCATGAGTGTATACCAGACTATAAGCAACAAATTGCATGAAGTTAGCAATTTTATTCTTGTATTCATGATCCCAAGAACACACACAACAATTTATCAGATTTAATCCAATGGTGTATGTGTAGCTACAATATTAGAGTAACTCATTTATCTGTGGATAGCATGATTTTTTTTTTTTTAGTAAGCAGTATTCTAAAAGCTAAGAGTATTAATAGAAATATTCTGCTAAAAACAAGGAAAAGAGTACTAAACTGTTATGGGATATCTGTTCTACTGTATGCCAATGAATGCTGTAAAACATCCTCAAAGATGAAGAGACATGAAGCAACAGAAATGTGGCTCTACAGAAGGATGCTGAGGATACTATGGACTGATTATGTGTTCAATGACAAAGTTTTGGAGAAGATGGAAACAAAAAGGAAACTTATACTAAACGTCAGGAAGAAACAGTTGAAATTTCTAGGGCACATAATGAGAAAAGAGGGCTTGGAAAATCTGATGCACACAGGACAGATTGAAGGCAAGAAGGGCAGAGAAAAACAAGACATAACGTACTTGTGGAGATTTATACCTTTGATGAATTTTAAAGGAACATGATTTAACTGCTTTGTATGTATGCTGTAGCAGAACTACAGATGATAATGGATATATATCCATTCATATAAATATAGTAAATACTGTATGTTGGTCTGCAGTTGGAGGTTCATTGTGGAATTCACTTTACTCACTTCTAGCAGTTGACTACTTCTTCTATGCACCACTGGTGAATCTTATATGTGTTGTTCGTGTCCTAAGTATTATCATTCATTACCAATTTTTGTTTGATTATTCTATTCAGTAACTTTCCCTAGGTTACAACAATGTAAAATTGATTCACTTATAATCAAAGGAGGAACACTTTCACCAGATGTCTCGAATGCTATTTACTTATTAAGAGTAAAATAAATTTTAAAAGCAGTGGCCAGCTCACAAAGAACATTCATCAAAGTGAAATATTTGTTCATTTTCTCTCTCTCTCTCTCTCTATATATATATATATATATATGCATGTAAATTATTTACATATAGAGTATATGAGTAAAAGAACAAAATGCATAAAAAGACAACAGGAATCGAAAATATATCTAAAATGTATATATCGCAATTAAAAAAAAAAAACAAAAAAAAAACATTTATTCTGAGCCATACAACTTACTAAAAGTTTTGATTGGTGTATGTTAAAGTGTTAACTGAGTAATAGATTTTTAATTCTTAGCCAACTAGACTTTCTAGTTACATGTTGCTTGAAGGTGACCTTACTGAAATTTAAACTTCTCTCAAAAT